GATTATTTCAACTTTCCCTTTATGTCGAGCAATATTTCAATCTCATCAAACTCAGATCTTAGTTTTCGCTAATGCTAAACTAAGATCTGAGAACATCCCATTAAGGGTCACGTCAGAACGGCCTTTCGCGAACTTCTACCGACCAATGAAATTATTAAGAAGAAGTCGACATGAGCCAATTAGAAAGCAGCTTTCTCGAGCTTCACGGCACTCGTTTTAAACTGGCAACTACCATTTCAGACTATGCTTGAAAAATTTGTTGACAAAGTTCTCGATTAAAGATTTGAAAAATTGCAAAATAGGCCTTTCCAGAATATCTAATTCCCAAGTACTATGCAACGTCTCTTCCCTTCAAATGTACTTGCCACTTAGGCGAAAGATAGACGAGGATTTTGACCGAATCAGTCGTTCAGGACGCAGAAATCAAATTCCGACTGTCACTTTCATGATCTGGTAAGCGACGCTTCGATTGGTCGGATGAAAGTTCTTTCTGACGTGACCCGCAACGGGATGTCCTCAGATCTATGTTTAGAGGTAGCAATTGTTGTGAGATATTTAGCAATATTCCTGCAGCTCCAGCCATTGGTGTCTACATTTCACAACTTTTGAGATACAACCGAGCATGTTCATTCTACCAAGATTTCAAAGAGCATCACACGACTCTTGCTCAGAAGTTGTGTGATCAAGGTGACAACATTCAAGGTCTCGGTAAATCTTTCAAAAGGTTTTATGGTGGACATGTGGAGGACAAATTTGACGCATCTGTGACAAGAATGATGTCCGATGCAACCTTCTATTTCGACTTGTGCCATATGTACCCGTGTCCTTTTTCAGGTGAACAGTTGACCTGCCTAAAAGGCATAAACATGAAGACCCGTGAGGATCCAGGTTACAATAGGTCTTTAGCAACCAATGATTTCCCTATAAGGCAACTATACTTGTCGTAAGAGGCGACTAAAGGGATCGGGTGGTCAGGCTCACTGACATGGTTGATGCACGTCTTCGTATCCCGATTACGTGGATCGATGCTCGTGATGTCAATCACTGGATCGCATTGGATCGCCGTCATATAGCTTGAATATTGCTGAGGGCGGCGTGAAACAACAATCAATCAATCAAAAACATGAAAGATCCCTGCCACCGGGAGACATTGACAATCTGTCAAATTCTTATTATGACAATATTCATCGAGTCGAACCAGACAAGCATCTTTGGTCAGCTCTGACACCCACCACGGAACACTTGGATTCTTTACCTCTGTGGAGTCACTATTTAGTTTTAATCTGTTGGACATGTGTATCCAAATAGTGAGTGAGTGGGTGAGTTGGGTTCAACGCCGCTAATAACAGTATTCCAGTTATGTCACAGCGTGTCAGCTTCATGTGGGAGGAAAGCCCGAAATGATGCAGGTCATAAACGCTTACCACTTCGTTGAAACCCACGAGCACGGGTATGGTGCTGACAAACCTTAGAAACATAATCAGGGCGAACCGGGATTCCAACCCACAATCATTGGTTTCTGGCGTGCCCAAGGGACGCAACTCTGCACAGCGAATCGCGACGCCTTAGATGACTGGGACACCCGTGCACCCCGTTTATACTAATAATATACATGGATACTTTAATACATTTAACATGTTTTGACAAACACTGACCTTGGTTTTGGATTCCAACACGTGCCATCCCTACAGCGGAAGCCTGTATGCTGTTGTGGCTGAAACAAGGTAAATATCATGGCGACGTAGATGATACGCGATCATTCAGATCTATATAGAGGCCAACAAGGACATTTTGAAACTGAGACTAGAAACACAAATCATATGTTTGTTACGTAGCTGCTAATATTTCGATATGTTTATTATTGAAAAGAGGCACCTACAGTATTTGCACTTCTACATTTCTGCCCCAGGTCCGTACAACGTACACAGCCAGGACGACGCAGCTCACGAAGATGAGCAGGACTGAGACGGCGCCGGCGAATATATAGACATTAGGCACAGTTTCAGGACCTGTAGAATATAAAATGCATGCCATAAAACCCCGTTATGCCGGACTGTAGTACTCCCATTGGAATCGTCAAGATTAGCACATGTCCGGAGTAAGAATCATGACCATTGTTGTGAACGTGTAAGCGTTCACAGCAGTTACTGTCTGGAAGATGTAGTCTCCAACGGGGTAAAAATGTCGAGATGTTTACTTCAGATGATACTATATATTCGGTTCCATAACTGTGAGTACAGCAGCTATCACAACGCCCTTCACGTAGATTAAAGAATTAATATCATTTTTCTGGGCTATGATATTTATTAAGACATAAAAAAGGCTCTACGTATGAAATAACTACGGTAGTCTTATCCTACAAAGCAAAATTCGTGATTCTATGGGAGTTAAGTTCTTTATTGTAGGATAAGTGCGCCGCGGTGACGATGATTCTATGGTAGTTAAGTTCTTTATTGTGCGCCGCGGTGACGATGTTTATATGGCTAAGTGCCACACGCTGACGATGATTGAATGCATAAGTGTTACGTTGACTATGATTCTGTGCATACGTGTCTGACGCTGATGGTGATTATATAGCTGCTAATAATGACGCTAAAAGTACGCTAAATAGAATAATAATTAATATCATACACTCACATTTCTGGCCGTGTGTAATGGTGTACGTTTACAAAAAAGTCCCAATACATGTTCAGTAATCAAGAGATAAATCAATGTCGGATTCACCAACTGTAATCGCCAGGCAACAGCCAGTTGCAAATATAAATTTGTTTCATGCCCGGATGTTCCCGGTACGTGATCATTCACACATAATATGCCACCCAATTATTCATTATTATTATTTAATTTGCAAAATGACAATGACAAGGATGGTGCTATAACATGATTCTCGTTCGTTAATTCTCGGGGAAATGTTTGGTGCATTTATCTGATTAGATTAAAATTGAATCTTTCCTCTCAAATAAATTGAAGATTAATGAAAATATTCTGGCACAAGGACAATACAACGCACACATTATTCATATGCTGACGTTCAAAAGAAGCTAGCTATGACAGAAAAAATTGGTTCAATACCTTTGTAATTTGGAGAAGGGAAATGAAGAGTGCCCTGAAGGTGTGGAGCAAATACAGCTAAGTGTATCCGATGACTTTAAACAGGTAAACGTGTGGGTTAACAAACGAAACGTGCATTTTGCCATAATGAAATTGCACAGGCAGTACCACCCGTTAGTATCGCTACAACAGAAAGCACATGGAAAAAATGCATCGTTTTTCAGCAGCACAAAGAGAGAGAGGTATTGGTATGACCCACCTTGGAGCCACGGATGGCCATATTACCACAACGCTCTGTTGTACTCGTGCTACAATAGCCAGGCTGATGGGACATTTACGTCAGACAGGGCAGACACTTGACAGGCCTTGGAATGGAAGACCGCGTGTGACCACGCAAAGTCACGACCGCCACTCCGCAACTCCGAAACCATTTCCTCTCCGCGATAACATCTGCATCGACGGCACTCGGGCATCGTTTCAGCAGATGATTGAGCACGAGGTGCCTACCGTGGAGTGACGTTAACGCAATAACGCCGACGTGAGAGAGCACGCCGTCGGCACGTGCTTGACTGGGGAAGAGTTTAACTATCTGACGAGAACAGGTTTTGCCTGTTTGGAACTGATCTGATGGTGATAACACACACGTCAAAGTGAACGAGTGGCGCCGAACTGTGTCGAGTTCAAGTGAATATGAGGTGGTGTCATGTTTTGGAGAGGAATGTGTTGGGACTTGAAAACAAAGGTGGTTATCATTTGAGGCAACCTTAACGCACAGAGGTATCGAGATGAGGTTTTGAGACCCGTTCTGAAGTCATGATTCGTGCAGCCACACGGTTTATTTCAACAAGACAACACGAGACCTCACGCTGCAAGGCTGACGTGTTCTTCTGACATAAACGCATCGCACATTTGTGGGATCATCTTGACTGGCCCATCAGGATATGGAGCGATTTCCTCTTTATGAATGGCAACAGGTTCCAGCTAAAGTAATTGTGCAGAGACACTACACTGTGGTTGTACGCGTGTTTTGGCAGTGACAATGTGGATCTAAACATGTGTACCCCCATGTGTCTTACTGTTACTGTTACTCGAACAACTTCTGCTTTTGAGGAGTGTAATTTTTGTTTCACAACATTCCAAATCACCAGCCTCGTTAATATATATGTTTTGAACATGCAGCAACCTTTGTATGCGCGAATCTGGGACTAGAAGCAATGTAACTCGGATCCAAGCATGCCAAGGGACGTAACGCTGCACCACAAATTGCGGCGTCTGCCGATATCAAATTGACTGCGGATGAATTGTTCTTGCAACTCAAAGTTCACAGGGCTCGAGGTTCATCAGTTCTCCCGAACGTACTCTTCTAAGGCGCTACAATTCGTTATGTAGAATTGCATCCCTGAGCTGAACCTTTGATTGTAGGTTCACATCCCATATTTGCCTTAAACATAATAGCCGTGTTTGTGGGTTTTCCAAAGTGGTTAACGTTTAAGACCTCATCACTTCTGGCTGTCCCCGTCATTTCAAGCTGACACGCGAAATAACTGACATACTCTTTATATTGGCGTTAACCCAAACAGACTCACTCATCACTTCCCAATGTGAACAATCACAACATGTATGAAAATTATAGAACACACTAACGCACGTCCGGGGTTGCATAATGTTAATCGTCCACAACGCATCTCATACCTTGACAACAATATAACGGTTACCTATTACAAACATAACAACTAACGCAAACGTCAGTGATTTGTGCAGTGACATTAGTGTATTATGTTCGACTAGCGTGTTATATTTTACATATCGATTGTGAATAATCAATACGTTAGACAACATGTTGTCTGTCAAAGAACAAGAAAACCTTAAAGAAAAAATGACACGACCCGATATAACTGAAATATTGTTTAAATAGGAGTTCAACCAAACTCACTCACTCATTCATTATTCTACAATCTGTATAGTTGATGGGGGTTGTTGAACCTGAAAACCACAATGGAAATGGAATGGTAAGTATGGCCACGTTGGTCGTAGTCAATTGTTTTCGTTATCAACACATAATATAGGACCTCTCCTTGCTGACTGTTGTCCTAATTATAACAGCCACATACATAGGACAAGACTAGCAACCTTGTGATAGCGGTTCAGTATTAATACTACATACGTCTTTCTTGTATGAATGACGTCATGTTTCAATGAATGACGATACGTTTCCACCACAATTGAACTAACCAGGTTTTCAGAATGCCGCGAAAAGGCATCCAAATCGGAGTTTGTAAATATTATTCAAACGCAATATATAACTGATGCGATATTAGTCTCATATTGCGGGAAAGTGCTTCCCGTAGATTGTGAGAGTGGTTTGATGGGGTTGGCAAAATTACAATTTACATTCTGCTGTAATAGAACAGGGAAATTTACAAATGATTTGTGCAATGTAAATAGTTTGTTAGGATCAACAGGCTTGTTACATTCTACATATATCATAACTGTATGTTCAAAACGTCAGACAAAATTCAACATTTTGTCTGTAAAGAAACAAGAAACCTTAATGACGTATTGTTTAACCTCATCTATGCGTTATTACTTCTGTGTTCACACTTACAAAGACATTCACTGACATGACAGAGACGTACCATTTGTGTAGATGTTATCTGGTGTATTAGTTGCATTTGTGACACCTGGTGTTGAACCTGTACATACATATAAACGTCAATCCCTGGACAAAACAAAACGTACTTAAATAAGCTTCCAACCCTGGGATTATGTTATTTCAAAACATAAAGTTTACCTGTCAAAATGTCATCACCACAGGTCACAATCATACTACAACAGATTATCTGGATGTATTCGTGGACAAGATGCATTTCCATTCAACCCATGGTCACTTTACAGTTAAGTTTACAGCTTCTGTGCCAGGTAAACCTGTGGTTGACAGTCCTTACATCGACCCACCCCTCAGGACACGATGACACACAATCTCTCCGAAATCTCCACAGGGACGGACATGCAAAGTCCATGTGAACTACAGTATTGCATACTAGATGAGCAGAAATATGATGGCAGCGACATCTGAGAGTTGGTCCAGACATACATGTCAGAGTAGTGAGGGGCGGCAGGGTAGCGCCGCTTGTTACGCTGTCACCAGGGGTTCGATTCCAGAAACAACGTGATGTACAAGGCCGTTCTTGGTGTCCCACGGCTGGGATATTGCTACAATTACTCTTTACATAACTTCTTTCATCGCTTTACGGCTGAGATATTGCCGACGCGACGTTAAATATAGACCCAAGTACTTCTTGCATCCCTTTACGGCTGGTATTGACTCACACACGTCTTGCGCCAACCGCCCAGGTACAAAATTGGAATATACAAACCTGAATAGTCACGTGTTCTTGTCAATTCAGGTGTAGTCCTGTTGGCCATGGCGCTGTTTTCTGTGAAGCAGAACACATTTATCCAAGTATGAACAATAATTGAAATAATTAACATCATGATATAACTAACCACTTATAGACCAAAGATTTCACACCACATTCTCAACCATATGGGGAGTATTTGTGCTTTTGTAAGCAGGGTGCACATTTACTTTATATCAAATCAACAAGATATGCTGTGCGAGTCAACTTTTTTTAATACCACGAGCGGCAACTTAATCCATGTTCCCAGCAGTGTTCTCTGATCCCTGGGTCATTAATGCAACTAAGCCTACAATGGCAGTGTAATAAGAGAATGTTGTGTTGAGCCGCGATCTTTGAATGCAGACCGTGTGTGCAACAAAGACACATGCCACGACTCAGTGTTGACTCAATTAATTATTTGTTGTCGAGATGTTGTTCATCTGACGTGTGCAGAAAGAGAATTTCACTGGGACGTATTGAATCCACGTATTACAATAGGTCTTCACGTATTTTTTCATGACTCGATGACTCACTCACTCACGCTCTGCAGCCAAGTACTTAGTTTTTTTTATCCAACTACTAAATATGTTATTTCTGCCTTCTCTGTTTTGAGCACTAAGCAGCCACGGTTTTTTCTTAAGTGGCGACTGTTGTCAGACTGGATGACGTAGTTGGTCGCGTGTCACCGTACCTCGACGGCGGCGTACGACATCGTGGGACCAACATGATGTCAATCACTGGTTTGTCTGTACAGACTTGATGATTTTGCACGCCGCCGTCGAAAATCTAGGCTATTGCCTTCAACAACAACACATACAAAGTATGTCTCCCAGTCGATGAGAGTGAGTGAGTGAATATGGTTTTACGCCGCTTTTAGCAATATTCCAACAATATCACGGCGGGGGACACCAGAAATGGGCTTTACACATTGTACCCATGTCGGGAATTGAACCCGGATCTTCGGCGTGACGAGCGAACGCTTGAACCACTAGAGTCGACCGCCCCCAGTCGATAAGAGAAAGCCGTAGTACACTTTCAGGCGACCGGATATTGAGCGTCATGAGAAAACCGCTGTAACATCTGAAGCATAAATCACTAGGAAGGAAAGTTTGATCCAATTCCCGACGTTCAAGTCTTACTCACCACAAAATGGAAAAGTGAAACACAAGGTATCACATGGACTGTCACAAACATAAGCACACTTCACTTGTGAATATTTTGTGGAAATAAGGAGTCTCGCAATTTTCCTCATGGAATAAAAGTCAGGTCGTGATGAATACCTGGACCTCGGTATGCACAAGGACGATGAACACATGGAAACCGTTATAAAGTTCAGTATGATTGGATGACCATGTCACAGTGTAACTGATTACGCAAGGAAATAAAAACTGTGACATTGTTATTGCTGGTGACCAACTGAATACTGAGGAAGCTTGTTTAATGTATTCAAAGTTGGGCGTTTATAAAACTAATGAATTATTTTCGTCCTGGTAGATTTTGTTGCCATAGTGATAGATATGCATGAACGCTGGTTAGAGTTCCCTCTCCGAATGATCAAACTGTTTTGTCACTTATCTACCGGCCAGCGTGAACTAGAATAGTAGCCTTCTGCTGTTAGCTGAAATATGGCAAATTGCCTTTGAAAGTAACAGCTTGCATATAAACACGGTTCGATCAACGTTATGTGTATTCAATAACGACTCACCCAGGCACAAGCACCCATCCGTCGCTGTTACAGTAGGTATGCAAATATATACAATCATGTATGTTATCACGCGTCTTTCGTGTATTAACGCTACCAGTTTGATGTTTGATGTTCTCGTGTCGTTTGGTGTTCTCGTGTAGTTTGGTGTTCTCGTGTCGTTTGGTGTTCTCGTGTCGTTTGGTGTTCTCGTGTCGTTAGGTGTTCTCGTGTCGTTAGGTGTTACCGTGTCGTTTGATGTTCTCGTGTCGTTAGGTGTTCTCGTGTCGTTTGGTGTTCTCGTGTCGTTAGGTGTTCCCGTGTAGTTTGTTGTTCTCGTGTCGTTTGGTGTTCTCGTGTCGTTTGATGTTCTCGTGTCGTTAGGTGTTCTCGTGTCGTTTGGTGTTCTCGTGTCGTTAGGTGTTCTCGTGTCGTTTGGTGTTCTCGTGTCGTTTGGTGTTCTCGTGTCGTTTGGTGTTCTCGTGCGCGGGTGCAAAACGCTTAAAGACCTGCATAACTTTGAGTTTTCTACCCTCATTAAATCATAATCTGCTCAATCCTTCATTATAATTCTGTCCATCTAATTTCTAGAATTGCATTTAATAAAAACTTCTATTTGTTTCACATTCATCATATCTTCTGAGTGATCAAATTCAACGTATAACATATTGTTCTTTGCTTGTGACGTAGCTTCTCGACATCAATAAGCAGTAATGAGCGAAAAGCAATAGTCCCACACCTCCATAAGATTCTCATTTGGATTATTTCAAAGGTGTTAACATGAATGAATTACACGGAATATTCTTTTGGAATGAGATGGCATCGTTTTTCACATAGCTGTGTGACTTTGGTGTGTCTATTGAGAATCATTCACATATAACATTACCAAGCAGATACTTATAAGCACGTTTTTAACAAGTTTACTGACACCACAGTGTTAGTGCTTTCATAATTTATATACTTGATGCTAGAGAAAATGGATTTTCTGTGATCTGGTGAACGGGTAGAAAACATCTACAAAAAGGGACGTAACTCTATGTGATTAACCTCGGATGTCTACTTGAGTAGTGTCGGAGACGACCGATCCTTTCACGCACTTGTCCAAGCATAACTCGGTTCCCCTTGGCTACATAACATTGCACGGAGACTAGCTGAGTGGCTAGTACACAAACAAGTACATATAGGAGTATACAAACAGTTGACGTTGAATAAACATCACAGTTGGCATGTGTCTTGTGCGCAGTCGTTGTCAAATAATGGCAGTGTCACCATCTACATCTTTTGCTTGTTTGTTGTTTAACGCCACGCTCAGCAATATTCCAGCTATATGATGGCGGTCTGTAAATAATCGGGTCTGGGCCGGACAATCCAGTGATTGACATCATGAGCATCGATCCACGGAATTGGGATCGATTACATGCATCAACCAAGTCAGTGAGACTGACCACCCGAACCAGTTAGTCGCCTCTTACGACAAGCATAGTCGCCTTTTATGGAAAGCATTGGTTGCTGAAGACCTATTCCATCTTCCACCAGTCGTCAGGATAGTACTATATTTAGAATGATGCTTGTGTTTGTGTAAATTTCCAGTCCGCAAAATGGCATGTAAGCCGTATGAGTGTTCTGCGCGCACATCTCGACTGTCAACACTGTATCCAGTGCTAAAATAACTGAAGGACACTACGATTAGAGAGACTATATACATACTCACACGCAAAAGAAACGCAAGTGGTTTTAAGCAAAAAGGTAACAAACACGGAACCATAAATTGATATGAGTTTTAGCATGTAGTGAAGCCTGATGGTGTTATCAATATTTTTGGTTGCATTTTGGAAGCCCCGAGTATAAACGCAACATAAAACGAATCGCCAAAACGCACCATTTCAATGAAAATGTGGGTATCATGCACCCATTTCTTGCGAAACCTAAATTGTCACGAACTGTAGTGGGTATAAAACTGTGGCCGATTCTTGGACCTACCACTGCTTGGTCAACAATGCCACGCCTAACTCAAATTCAGAGAAACAAGGCTATCGGACGTTTGGAAGCTGGAGAGCCTGTCCAAGATGTTGCCCGTCATTTTAACCACATAACCACGATTTACCGTCTCCTGCATTGATACAATACTACACAGACCACAGATGACCTTCCTCGGAACGGTCGTCCTAGGGTCACCACACCTCGACAAGATCGGCAGATTACCCGTCAACACCAGCGACATCCGTTCCTAACTGCAAGTGAAAGTACTTGACAGACCATAGGAACACATAATCGACACATTAGCCGGGACACTGTGATCCGACGTCTCCGTTCCAACAACCTCAGATGTCGCCGACCAGCGTGTTGTCCTGTTCTCCAACCACGGCATCGACAAGAACGACTTCAGTGGGCACAGGGTCATCACAATTGGCGTCATCGTGAGTGGAGGCGTGTCATCTTCTTTTGTGTCTCCCATGCAGACGGGAGAGTCAGAATTTGGCGGCGTCGAGGTGATCGTTTCGCTGACAGAAACGTTGTGGAAAGGGATCCCTGGGGTGGATCTAGCGTCATGATAAGGGCAGGGATTGGACTAAATGTGAGACTTGGACCCATGTGCTTTCTGAATGTTGGTCAAGGTCGGGGACACGGCGTCACTTCTTAGCGGTATATCGACCAAGTGATCAGACCCCACGTTGTTCCAGTTTTTGCACAACATCAACAACACATTTTCCAGCAGGACAACGCTCGTCCCCATGTTGCCAGAGCTACCATTTTCTTTCTGCAACAACACAACATCCGCGTTCTACCGTGGCCAGCCCTCAGCCCTGATCTGAATCCCATCGAACACTTGTGGGATGAGGTTCAAAGGCGTCTGCACAATGTGCGCCCAGTCCCTACAACTGCCTATGAACTACGCACAGCTGCTCTGGATGTATGCAGGAGGATCCCTAGGGCCTTCCCAAATTCGTCTGATCCACTCAATGTACAGGAGATGTGTGGCAGTGATCAATGCTAATGGTGGTCACACCAGGTATTGACTGACATTTTGGGTATTGACCCGAAACTGTGTAAGCCCTTAATATTTGAATTTTTTTTAATGTCATCTGCCTTTTAATCCATTAAACTGTCTTCAGTCAAATTTTTGTCAATCTGTTCCTATTAGTATTTCTTGTATTTACTGTTGAAACTAAATAACATGTATACTGCATACTCGACTTGTGTTTCTTTTGCTTGTGAGTATATATATATATATATCCGTGCTATTTTGCAATCTGTGTTTTTACTGAGGCCCAGCTGGGCCATGGTCTTAACATTCCAGTAACAAGTGCGCGGTGGATTCCGTCTGATTGCAACATGTGTATACCTTGTCGTGGAGCTTTTTGGGACTCAGTCTGAGGCATGAGATGGCCACTACATGAGATGGTCAACTACTCGAACGTGTATGAACAGAGCAGCCGATAATAATTTCTAAAAAAAACTCTCAAATCATTATAATACGAAAAGAGATATATCATCAAAACAAAACCAGAATTTTAAAATGTTATCAGTACTAAAGAAAACTAATAGCAATAGCAACAATACCCTACTCAAACACATGTTTCTGTCAACACCAAGAGCTGCATACTTTCCATCAGGACAACGCCAGAGCACATACAACACGTGCTTCTGTGGACTTCCTCGCACAGAACAACCTACCTGTCATGTCATGTCATGACCTGCATTATCTCCCGATATATCGTCCATCGAGCACTTCTGGGACTACCTGGGATAGCGCACTGCATGTCGACGTCAAATCGCCAACATAAGAGACCTCGCAACGTGTGTGGCGTAGGATAGCACAAGCTGTTACCCGGAAACTGATATTGTCCATGAGATGGCGTTGTGTGGCATGCATTGCAACCAGGGGTGGTCATACCCGGTACTGACTTTGTCTTTGGATCCCTTCTGTTTTCCATTTCCTCTACATTAAAATTGTGTACTTCCCTATGACATGTGTCATTATTAATGTGGAACTAAGTTATCTGAGTGTGATTGTAGTACCCAGGCAACACCATATAAAATTTGGTTTAGCATCAATTTCACTTTTTGCCTCTGATGCGTTTTCAGTGCGTTTCAGTATATATGATTATCTTATCAGGACCATATCGTGAAATAGCAATTGTGATGAATGAATATCCATATCAGTTAGCAATATATTTTATTCATCAGATCAGATAGCAGTATACATTGTAGGCACTCTGGTTAAACACGTGACTCATTTTGGTAATTTTATATCAGTTGTGTAGAAGAGAATTTGATTCAATATTGTAATGATACAACATTCACAAAAGGTGACAAACAGACAGACAAGTTATGTACTTTAGTATCACCAGATGCACATGTGTAAATATAATACATAAAATGTGTCATAAAAGTAATAAGTGGGACTTTAATAATCATAAAATGTGAGGACACAATGATATCTTACAAGAAGAATATTAACGTTATATCATATCAAAATGTATAAAAGCCGCCGTGGAAGTAAAATATAATTGAAGCTTGCGGCATAATATTGAAATCGAGTATTGTTAAGAGGTAATCGGTGTGGCGCGAGAGACACACTCACAATCATCACCACTCGCTTCCCCTTTACCCGTAAGCCCACCATTTGGTCCTTCTCCCCGAACACCTCATCGACGGTTTTCCTAAGATATGTTCTCATACACAGAAGGAAGTATGCGCCCATCGTTTTTAACCGCCGGTGTCTCTCTAGCGACGTCAGAATAGAGGTGGTGAGTGATGGCGTCAACGGACGTGGTGACGTTTTTCGACGTCATGTCGATGTACCCAGTGGCGTCGGTGGGCAGAGGGGAATCTCTGTTTGCATTCGTCTGGATTCCACCCTTCGTCCTCATGGCACGCGGTAATACTGTAGTGTAGAGGTCGGATATTTTCCTGCCGGTTCGTTGCGTGGGTAGGTTGGAAGTTTCCATCTCGGTGGACACATTTCCTGATGGGGATTCTTGGTTGCGGAGAGAACCCCCGTTAGCCAATAGTGACATGTCTGTAAAGGAATATATGGTACAGCTTAGTATTGGCTATTTTAAACAAAAGGGTGTGTTGTTGCACTCAGCAATGTTGCAGCGATATGACGGCGCCCGAACTAACCGAATACCAGACAATCCAGTGATTGAAACCCCTTCGGGGGACTTTGACACGCTTTCAGCCAAATGTGAAACTGACCAGTGATTCACATCTTACGCACGAATGTTGGAATAATTACATCAACATTTCAATCATAATACACTGATTTATGTAATGTCATCGTCATTAATGTGTTGTAGTGTGATAGGGTTCAGAACTCTAATGTTTATATTTGTATCATTGAAACAGAACATGAACTAAATGCCAAGTACGTTCAGTTCAATTAACGAAATAATCATATAACTAGGTTAAGATTTCATGTCCAGGAAACCAGGGTAGACTAGAGGTTTAAGCGTTTGTTCGTTCGTTCCTCACGATGAGGACCTGGTTCGGTTCTCAATATGGATTTGTTGTAAATTGTCCTTCCCAATTGTGTTACAGGAATGTTAAACGATTACTAATCTCACATATTATCGCCATACCTGAAAACTCATTTTATGTAATATGGTATAATAATTAAACATTTCACTTTTACGTTTCACTGCCATCTGTTACATGTTACTTAGCTGCAGTGGTCTAGCCTAGTGGTTTGGCCGAGCGAGTTGGGTTAAACGCCGCTTTTAACATTATTCCTGTTATATCACAGCGTCGTCACACCAGAAACCCGGGTTCGATTCCTCACATTGGTACAATGTGTGAAGGCCATTTCTGGTGTCCCCCGCCGTAATGTTGCTGGAATATTGCTTAAAGCGGCGTTAAACCATACTCATTTACTCACTCACTCATGACATGCTACTACTAGTTTGTATCGGTGATAGGTAGCCTATTGGCTAAAGCGTTCATTCGTCACACAGAAGATCAGGGATCGCTTCCCTACAAAGGTACAATGTATGAAGGTCATTTCTGGTGTCCGACGCTTATAGATAACTGGATTTTTGTTAAAAACAGGGCACATTCACCAACGCTCTCACGTTTTCTTCTGTTGTACAGGACGATGACAATGATGGTGATGACGAGAACTCCGCACTGAAGGCCGGCCACGATGTACACGAGGGTTTTACCTGAAATGAAGTCGTACCTGGATATGGAAGGAAGTTTCGAAATGTAAACGCCTGTTTATACACAGATCCGGTGTGTACAATACATAAAACCTGTCTTACGTTTCACAGATTGTGTTCACTATGGTTGGTTGGTTTATTGTTTCACGCCGCACTCAGCAATATTCCAGCTATATGGCGGCGGTCTGTAAATAATCGAGTCTAGACCAGACAATCCAGTGATTGATATCATGAGCATCGATCCACGCAATTGGGATCGATGACATGCATCAACCAAGCCTGACCACCCGATCCCGTTAATCGCTTCTTACGACAAGCATAGTCGCCTTTTACGGCAAGAATGGGTTGCTGAAGATCTATTCTACCCCGGATCTTCACAGATTGTGTTCACCAAGTATGGATGTTTGACAGTGCTACATTATTCGTAAGCTCGTTTCTCTGAATGCAATCACTTATTTCGGTTTTGGGTGTTAAAGGAATCAGTACAGAAATTAATACTCACCTGGAAAAAGTCCGATTATGACTAAAACAACCTTAACCAATAGTGTCATGACCTCCATTATCACTGGAAAACAAAATTTTGACCTTAGAACAGACTCAGTTGTGAGAAAGGGAATTGGGTTTAACACTGCTTTGAACAGCATTTCGGTCACACCGCGGCGTGTCAACGTAACGTGGGAGCGAAACCTGAAGTGATGTACATTTACCACAGTGTCGAAAACCACGAGAACGGGTATTGTGCTGACAACTTTGGAAACATAATCTATGAGTCGAACCAACGATCATAGCGCCTTAAACGACTTAAGCTTTATACCTGTATTTCCAAATGTATTGTGGTACGTATTCATTGGTATTACCTATCGTGGTATACCGGTATACCTCTATGACATAGCATGCACAGGTTTCGAACCTGAACCAGGTAAGCCAGCGATTGATTGGGGAGCAACATTCACGTCATTGTGTTCATGTTGACTTGTATATATTAGGTGGTTATATATGTTGTAATTATGTATGTTCTCTGTGTCACTATGTGTGATTTTTTAGAATAAAGATTATGTTCTGTTCTGTTCTGTGGACAATCATCCATCTTTCAATAATGACGCTATGGTTTTAGCTGATATAATCTGCCTCGGTGAGATGTAATCGCTATGGTTATGCAAGATGCATTTTCAATTCAATACCAAGTATATCATTAGGAGTATACAGCTGAGCACACGTACCTACCTTTGTGCCTATCGTGCCATACGGGTGAAAACTCATCGCCAGACTGCAGTAGATGTATCAGAAACCTGTCCTACGTCACGCACCGTAGTCATAATCAATCAGACAGCAACGAGGAAAATGATTACGCACTTAATTTTAATACAGGTGAATGTTATATCAGACATCAATTGAATCGAAACAAACTCGCACTTCCTTGCCAATAATTCCTGATAAAAATGTGCATATTTATTGTGTTCATTATGTTGTTGATTGCAATCGTTGATTAGGTATACGGTTGTATAAATTAAATTAACAATGGGTTTCACGCTCCGCTGTAATACTTTTATCGCGAGTTTGTCATTTGCAGCGGGTTTCAACATGCATGTAAATTTTCACAGAGTGAAAAGATAGACATTTCCCGCCGATCACGTATACTCATCTTTTGGGGCAGACAGATTCCATATTTGCTGTCTAGGTGAATAACGCTCACATTGCCAGTACATTTAATGAGGAAAATCCAACATACGTTTTACGTAAATCTGTCTATTTCTGACTCACAGTGATAAATGTGTGGGTTCCAAGGCATAAACACTGGGCTCCCATGACGGTGACCAGTTTCAATCTCCACTTGATTTTGAAGGATCTCATTAATCATTGCAATGTCAGGAGCCTGAAACCGACCACAGAGGGACATTTGATTGACGAAATTCCACCACTGACACCAAAATGGAAATGTCAGTTATATGTAACATGCAAAACACAATGTTGATAAACTCATTCATTCAGAAGGCTATTCTTATTTTGTATCCCATCGGTTCCGGACTTGCAATGTAGAATTTTTTTAATGTGTATATATTCTCATTTTGTATGGAAACATCTGGAGGACGCAAAATTGGCAATTTGCAACTGCTTCAAGGTGTTGACATTCGTGACCCACCAGGAGAAAAGGGGCCTTATGGGTGCTGGCATTCCATTGTACTGTGTGTCATGGAGGCGTTTGACAAAAACGTACTTCAGTCAAAAGTGCCATGTGTGCGGACTGTACAAAAATATCTCATATTTCTCTCATTAGTTCGCGATGTTTTAAAAACATTATTTCAAAAACTTGTCGGCATACCTGTCTACTTTCTATTAATCATGCATTGTATCTAAAAGCTGCAAGTATTTTATTATTCCAATTCAATGGGCTTTCTCCCCATGCATTTGTTCCACGGTCAAAGGGAAGCTACTCTTCCTGGTTTAATATTGCAAGGGAAGCTACTCTTCATGGTTTAATAGGGCAAGGCACCTTATCAGTGTATTATTCAGGAATTGTTCTTCACATGCTCTAAACAAAGGGAAGTAACCCATGTTGCAGCTGAATTTAGTTGCTCCATCCTCTTTTCATCCACACAACCTCACCGGTAACACGTTTTTTAAATGGCGGAAACACTTACGTTAGAAGAAACATTTCTAATTCTCGTTTTTGTGGCGTAAGTTATTATTGTGGTGAACGTCATAGCTTTACTTATCCTCATGGAAAAGTATTTCAAACAATGAACAATTTTGTTTCGGGGTTGGAATTCAGATTTGCAGTAACAACCGCAGCGGCGGCAGCAGAAGCAGAGGTCCACGTGGTCCCAGAGGCTATGGACGATAACGCCTGTTACCACTACTCCTTCAGGAAGTGAGTCTGTGCAAATTGGTTTTTATCCTAATAATGCATATAACCTATTAGTTAACTCACAAACGTATCCTCCCGGAATTTGAAAATCATGTCCCTCCATCCAGTATCATAACAATGCTCCTAGCATGGTTAGTAACCCAAATCATGTCCCTCAATCCCAGTATCATAACAATGCTCCTAGCATGGTTAGTAACCCAAATCATGTCCCTCAATCCCAGTATCTTAACAATGCTCCTAGCGTGGTTAGTGACCCAAATCAGGTCCCTCAATCCCAGTATCATAACAATGCTCCTAGCATGGTTAGTAACCCAAATCAGGTCCCTCAATCCCAGTATCATAACAATGCTCCTAGCATGGTTAGTAACCCAAATCATGTCCCTCAATCCCAGTATCATAACAATGCTCCTAGCATGGTTAGTAACCCAAATCATGTCCCTCAATCCCAGTATCTTAACAATGCTCCTAGCGTGGTTAGTGACCCAAATCAGGTCCCTCAATCCCAGTATCATAACAATGCTCCTAGCATGGTTAGTAACCCAAATCAGGTCCCTCAATCCCAGTATCATAACAATGCTCCTAGCATGGTTAGTAACCCAAATCAGGTCCCTCAATCCCAGTATCATAAAAATGCTCCTAGCATGGTTAGTAACCAAAATCATGTCCCTCAACCCCAGTTTCAAAACAACGTTCCTAGCGTGGTTAGTAACCCCAAAAATGTCCCTCAATCCCAGTATCATAACAATGCTCCTAGCATGGTTAGTAACCCAAATCATGTCCCACAATCCCAGTATCTTAACAATACTCCTAGCATGGTTAGTAACCCAAATCTTGTCCCTCAATCCCAGTATCATAACAATGCTCCTAGCATGGTTAGTAACCAAAATCATGTCCCTCAACCCAAGTTTCAAAACAACGTTCCTAGCGTGGTTAGTAACCCCAAAAATGTCCCTCAATCCCAGTATCATAACAATGCTCCTAGCATGGTTAGTAACCCAAATCTTGTCCCTCAATCCCAGTATCATAACAATGCTCCTAGCATGGTTAGTGACCCAAATCTTGTCCCTCAATCCCAGTATCATAACAATGCTCCTAGCATGGTTAGTAACCCAAATCATGTCCCTCAATCCCAGTATCTTAAAAATACTCCTAGCATGGTTAGTAACCCAAATCTTGTCCCTCAATCCCAGTATCATAACAATGCTCCTAGCATGGTTAGTAACCAAAATCATGTCCCTCAACCCAAGTTTCAAAACAACGTTCCTAGCGTGGTTAGTAACCCCAAAAATGTCCCTCAATCCCAGTATCATAACAATGCTCCTAGCATGGTTAGTAACCCAAATCTTGTCCCTCAATCCCAGTATCATAACAATGCTCCTAGCATGGTTAGTGACCCAAATCATGTCCCTCAATCCCAGTATCATAACAATGCTCCTAGCATGGTTAGTGACCCAAATCTTGTCCCTCAATCCCAGTATCATAACAATGCTCCTAGCATGGTTAGTAACCCAAATCAGGTCCCTCAATCCCAGTATCATAACAATGCTCCTAGCATGGTTAGTGACCCAAATCTTGTCCCTCCATCCCAGTATCATAACAATGCTCCTAGCATGGTTAGTAACCCAAATCATGTCCCTCAATCCCAGTATCATAACAATGCTCCTAGCGTGTTTAGTAACCCAAATCAGGTCCCTCAATCCCAGTATCATAACAATGCTCTTAGCGTGGTTAGTAACCAAAATCATGTCCCACAATCCCAGTATCATAACAATGCTCCTAGCATGGTTAGTAACCCAAATCATGTCCCTCAATCCCAGGATCATAACAATGCTCCTAGCGTGTTTAGTAACCCAAATCAGGTCCCTCAATCCCAGTATCATAACAATGCTCTTAGCGTGGTTAGTAACCAAAATCATGTCCCTCAATCCCAGTATCATAACAATGCTCCTAGCATGGTTAGTAACCCAAATCAGGTCCCTCAATCCCAGTATCATAACAATGCTCCTAGCATGGTTAGTAACCCAAATCAGGTCCCTCAATCCCAGTATCATAACAATGCTCCTAGCATGGTTAGTGACCCAAATCAGGTCCCTCAATCCCAGTATCATAACAATGCTCCTAGCATGGTTAGTAACCCAAATCAGGTCCCTCAATCCCAGTATCATAACAATGCTCCTAGCATGGTTAGTGACCCAAATCAGGTCCCTCAATCCCAGTATCATAACAATGCTCCTAGCATGGTTAGTAACCCAAATCAGGTCCCTCAATCCCATTATCATAACCATGCTCCTAGCATGGTTAGTAACCCAAATCAGGTCCCTCAATCCCAGTATCATAACAATGCTTCTAGCATGGTTAGTGACCCAAATCAGGTCCCTCAATCCCAGTATCATAACAATGCTCCTAGCATGGTTAGTGACCCAAATCATGTCCCTCAATCCCAGTATCATAACAATGCTCCTAGCATGGTTGGTGACCCAAATCAGGTCCCTCAATCCCAGTATCATAACAATGCTCCTAGCATGGTTAGTGACCCAATTGCCCCTCATAATTCACAAGTCATTACCTTGTTTCATAATGTTGACATATGCCACCAAATGTATATATGTATTAAATATGCCACCACCTACAACAACACAAAGTGTTTATGATCACCTGGGTTGTAATGTTCCTGTCAGCATTAAAAACAAACTATGGAATGGTGAGTACATCAATTTTCGCACTCTTGCTTAAACCAGACAGAGATTTGATGGATTATATGACAACTTCGGCAGTATTCATCAGTACAGATGGACAGCTTGAGCTGAGGGCCAAGTCTCAAGGCGCAAGAATTAGAACATTTTTGATTGGACAACAGCTTTCACAACTAATGTAGAGTATTTATGTCCAGCGCGGGATAGACATGGTACAAGGTTTACTCAAACACATGAATACTGTCCGTTATGCAGCGTCTAGTCATACTGGTTTGGGATGGAGAACCTATAATGAACAATATCGTCTTCGCCAGGCTCGTGACCATTCTCTACCATGGGGAAACTTGAATGTGGAATTGTGGATGTTGTTTGTACAGACACCTTACCATCAACAGGTCAGTTCTGGGTTTTTCTGGTATACAAAAACGACACGTCAGCACATTTCAGGGCAAATTGCATCAACCGGCAAGCAACACATGTAACAACTTCAATCAGAGCAAGTGTTTAAGACAAAAGTGGAAGTGCCGACACAGCTGTTCCTCATGTGGAAGCGATGCCCATCCAGCCTGCAGATGTTCATCAGCCAGCACGCCTTCAAGAGTTATACAAGCTCGGTTGAACACCAGTCAAGACACAGGTTATAGAATGAATGGCCAAGCATTTTCCGGATCAGGCTGTTTCTCGTTAATGGTCTCAAATATGGCTTCAAGCTAGCATATGATGGTACAGTGGTAGGTTCTATGGTATGGCAAGAAATC